GGGGGGGGGGGCATGGCTCCCCTTTGCCACCCTTGGCTCCGCCTCTATTTGTTTTCTATATTTAGTTTTTAAAATTTATTCTAATTTTATATAGATTATTGATACGTTAATGGAATCAGATTCAAATTAGATAACTCTATATGTAAACAAGGTTCTAAATATCGATACGCCCGAAACGCCCGTATGGGCGCATCGGGCGGTATTGATAGTGTTTTTTTACTTTTTTTTAATTTTTTTCAAAACCAGTTCAGGGGCCGGTGTAAGGCTCCTCCACCCCCTGAACTGGTCAGAACCCCAATACACCCTCTATAGGGGTGTATCGGGGTGCTCTCGATATGATACGTATTGGCCACGATGGCTTTCCTAGAACCATGCTTTATCATAGTTTTGAAACCTCTCCTAAATCGTGCTGTTATTGGCCACATCCGATGGCTTTCCTATGTTTTTATGCTTAAGGGGCATTTTTGTCCCACTCAAGTGTTAGAAACTTCCCCCAGGTGGGAAAGGTATTTATCCACCTAGAAGATGGGTATCGCTTACCCGAGTAAGTGGTATCTAGGAAAATAAACTTAACCTGATCCCCACATTAATTTGAAGAAAGAACATGGGATTTTTCGTCAATGGGGAACCAAAATCCCATTGACCTACTTTCCTCCTCTCAAAATCCAAAAAAAGAATGCCCCTAAAGGATAAAAATATAAGAATATTTTGACCTCTTAACCTCAAAAACCACCAACCATTCATGACCAAATGTGTTGGTTTTGTGAGAACTATTGATTGCTAGCATTGTTTCGATGGCAGACCACTCTTTTCTGTTGTACCCACTATAGGTAGGCCCCTGTTTGCATTGTGGTTGCTAAGTCGAGCAACTATTGCAGAAAATCTAGGTGAAGGAGCTGTAATAATGTCAGATTCTGGATACTTTGACAGTCCGACCAAGATCCAACCCAAAAGTCATTTACTTCCCTTTTCCAGAAATTATGCCATTAGTAATTCTCCCTAATAATTAATTCATTGTAATTTATGAGGACCCTCTCTAATGACATCTACTTTTGGCTATTGTTACTATATTCTGTTTGTTGATGATTTTAGTTGTTATAGTTGGATTTTTCCTCTCACTTGCAAATCTGAGGCCTTTGCTATGAATAAGGTTTGTTAGTTCATGCAAAACCCTACTATTGTTCACTGGGCTGATGCAAAGAGGATTCTTCAATACCTCAAAGTAACAATCATGTATGGTTTGCTTCTTCAACCATGCCCTACATTCTTTCTTGTTGCTTACTCTGATGCTTATTGGGGTAGTTGTCTCATGGATCATCGCTCTTAGAGTGGTTATTGTGTGTTTCTTGGTTTTAATTTAATTTCTTGGAGCTCCAAAAAACAACCCACAGTGGCTCACTCTAGTATTGACTCAAAACATTGCAGCTTAGCCTCCGCACCTGCTGAGGTTTTGTGGCTTCATGTGCTCCTCCAAGAAATGAGTATCTCTCTCTCTCTGCAACTCTTTTGATATGGCGTGACAATATGGGGTCTAAATTTATTGCTAATAATCCAGCACTTCATTCTCATTCTAAACACATCGAGTTGGATATTCACTTCATCTGGGAAAAGGTTGCAACGAAGCTTCTTGATGTTCGGTACATACCCTCGGCTAATCAGATAGCAAACATTCTCACCAAGCCCCTTGGTTTTATGCAATTTGAGGTTCTTCATCACCAGTTCACCGTTTCTCCCTCAACTGCGCTTGAGGGGGGTGTAAGCGATAACGTGCATGGCACATGCATGTATCCGGTGCATGACGCATGCACCCAAGACTCCTACTTCATTTCATCTTGTAAACTCCTATTCATTCTTATACTGTAAATATCTCTCCTACTGTACGTCCTTCTTGTAGATAATCTTTATCCCTGTTGATTATCTTTGTAAAGGATAAACCTATCCTAGTAAGATAAGGATTATCCTAATTAGGATTACATCTAACCTATCCTAATTCAGATAGAACTTTACTATTCTTATACTCTATATATAAACCATCAAGGAGAGTCGAATATCATTGATTTGACCATTGTTCTCAATTCTCTCTCTCTCTCTCTTATTACTCTCATATTAAACAGTCAATTATTTAAATATTCCATCTCATGTATTTAATAATTAGCTCATAATTAAAACTATCCAATCAAAGAAGTTATTGAAAAATATTTTATATTTATTTTGGAAACTATTTAATATTTTAATAAGTATTTTGTAATTATCCATTATTATAATTTAAATAAAAAATTATTAAATAACCCTTTATTTCAACATTCTATTTCACTTATTTAATATTTACAAATATTCAATCAAATAATCTACCAAAAATTATTTAATAATTATTTTGGGAAAATCATAATTTACAAATTAATAAATAATTATTAAAAATTCCAAAAAATAATCTACCACAACATAATAAATAGTCCATTATTTACTAACTTTCACATAATTAATAAATTTCCAAACTTTCATCCAATTATTTCTGTAATTTTTAAATAACTATGATTAAATTAATTATTTTAGTTTAACAATTATTGATTATATTTTTGAAATTAATTATTTATTGCTAAGTGTATAATTATAATCAGTGTAATTTACTGTAATTTTTATTGGATAATGTAATTACTAGTTTATATATTATATTTTCAGAAACCCTTTTATTACTTTTCATTGGACAATAAAAGAAAATTTAAAACAATCTTGGAAAATATTGGAAATTTTATTACTATAGTTAATAACCAAATGCAAATGGGGAAATAAAATATTATAATGTTGGAAAAGGAAATTATTGATTAATTTATATTGGAAAATGAAAGAAAAATTAGTGTAATTTTGTAAGTAATCTATTTGATAAAAATAAATATTTAAAATAATTTTCAATAAATCTCCTTAATTACATAAATGTAATAAATTCTACAAAAAATGCATAAACTATATTTTCTTAAAATAACATTTTGAAAAAAGATATATTATTGTACTCTTGAAAAAATTTGGTAACTCTATTTATATGTAGTAAATAATTATTAAAAATTATTGGAATATTTTGGAAATTTTAGGAAAATTTATTACATTTGGCAGATTTTGGAAAATTACTGAAAATTTGTGTGCTTTTATTGTAAATTATTGAAAATTATTAAAGATAAATGAGTGCGGAAAAAGAAAAACTATAATTAAACAAAAAATTAGATAAATTATTTTCGTTTTAAGGATAAATCAGTATAATATTGGAAAAGAAATTATCGATTAGCTTATATTAGAAAATATAAGATAAATTAGTGTAAGTCAATAAGTTTGAAAATTAAACAAAAGCAATAAATTTTCCAATCCAAAATTTTCATAAAATTATCTTTTTGAAAAATAAAGATAATTTAATGTATTTTTGGATATTTACCATGTGGGTGGTAGAAAATATATTTTTTATATCTTTTTTGTCATCAAATTGGACATTTGGATTTTTCCGTGCATTGCAGGGATCCTCACTAGTCAC